AAGGTGGATTGATGTGGACATTTGTAGGTGTTACGTTGATTTGTTGGTTTGGTGCTGAGGTGGTAGCTTCTTTGCAAGAGACGTATGGTGGGACGTCTGGGTTCAATTTGGATTGAGGAGGAACTAATAACCCACATTCGGGAGGGAGGGAGTCAGCTGTATCATGCGTAGCAAGTTCATTATTCTCACCTTCAGCAGAAGGTTCTGCCTGAGATCGAAGGAATTTCTGAATGTGCTCTCGTGTGGCATTACTTTGATTGTCGTCGTCGTCAAATATCACGGACGTACCCTCGTTTTCGAACCGTGTGCATGCCTCGACTCTTGCTTCCCTTTCTGCTAACTGTTCCTTAAGTTTGAATGTTTCCTTCGTGGTTTCGATTTGCTCAATCAAACGCTGCTCTTCGCTCTGGATTTCCAGCTTTCGCCTTTCGATTTCTTCGAGTGCGACTCGGTTAGCCTTGTCTAGTTGTTCCTTTTCCTCTACAAGATTTATTTTGGCTCTCAACGTTGCAATTTCCTCTTCGAGGTCGAGTCTACGAAGTCGTGCGGATGAGCTAGTACTAGCTAGTGATGAACGAGATAGTCTACTTCGATGACTTGATCTACTTCGATGAGTGGATGTGATTACTGAATGTCTATCTTCGTTTTCATTCAATTTTAGCTGTGGAATTGCTTGCACCGCTTGGGCAAGTATTTGATTTGTTTCTCGACTCATATCCTCAAACTTACTATAAAATGTCATCTTTTCGATGGCTGAACCTTGGATGCGCTCTAATTCTTCTTGGGCAGCAGTTAGTTCCTTCATGCATTGTTCTACAATATTTGCTTCCTTTTCTAATATGGAGATGTTTGTTTCCTTTATTATTTGTCCTTGCAAATGATTAATTTGTATTCTTAACTTCTTTGATATTCTATAAAACTCATTTTCATGTGTCGATGATGTAGTACCAGTTTTTACCGGCAGATCTGGCACCCGTCTCATTTTCTTCAGCCATATTTGATATTTCGCAAGAATTACGAAGTACGCCCGAGCGCTCTCCGGTTGCTTTCCGATAATTAAGTATTCAAAATGGCGCCGAGACCACGTTGTATGATCGTTCGACCGGGCTATTTGCCCTTATAAACGCAAATATGACGCTCAAATGCGAATAAAGTACGTGTTTCTGACCTTGATGTCGACCAGGTTCGTTCCTTCGTTGTGAATTTAATTCGTTTTACTGTAACTCCTAGCGTTTCGTTAGTGATATTAGACGCATGTGCTAGGATTGTTCATTCGTTCATAAACACTGACAAGCAAGACGAGACATCCAGGATTAAAGAATAGTCGTAAGTCGTTAACGCAAGTTGAATCTAACCTTTAATATCCTTCTACATACGTCTAAACTTGACGTCTAAACTTGACGTCAAACGAATGTTTTAACAATAATATCACTAAGATAAGTCCTTCGTGTAAGCCACAGTTCGCAAAAGTTCGCATAAGTTCAAGTTGGTATATTAAAACGTATTGTTTTTTTGTGGGGCCTGAGCACTAATATGCCCTTATACGGTTCGCAGTTACAATTTCAGTCAGGGTATTCTCACGTTCCACGTAGTATTCCGTCACGAATGCATTATTTTGCTGTATAGATCCTCAAACATGCATTGTTTTGCATGACTGTAACGGTAATGGGAATCTCCAAGCCTCCTTGTGGTAACAGAGATTGATAAAAAATGATCCCAAATTTGTTGAGTCAAGAAATTTTAAAAACTACATACAGCGAGAGTTTAACCAAGACTTATACCATGCTTTATCTAATTTAAATTGGGAGATAAATGATCCAAATATGCTTTGGGAGAACTTTCAAACAACATTCAATTATGTTGCTGACATTCATGCTCCACTTCAAAGCCGTAAAGTTAGAAACAGAAAGGCACCGTGGCTGACTGATGCAATTAAGAAAAGTATGAATCGCCGAGATTATCTCAAGAAGAAAGCTATTAAGACAAACTCAACTGCATGCCACAATGCTTACAAAAGTCTTCGCAATGAGATTAACAAAAAAATATGTATGCAAAGCGAGATTATTACACAAACTGTGTTGACAGAAACAGAAATAATACAAAGCAAATGTGGAAACATATTAATCAGTTAGTTAATAAAAATTCTAGATCAACAAATATATCAGTACTACATATAGACGAACAGGTTATTACTGAAAATAAAACTATAGCTGATTTGTTCAATGAATATTTTACTGATATAGGACCAAATCTGTCGAACCAGATCACGGAAACTAACAATGATTTTAAACGTTATATGAAATTTAAAACTCAACATAAGTTCAATTTCGAAAACATTAATATCAATGAAGTGTTAAATGCATTGGAGAAATTAAAGACGTCTAAGTCAACTGGACATGATAATATCCCAGCCAAACTTTTGAAAGATGCGAGTGATGCCGTAGCGCCTTTTTTAGTATTTATTTTTAATACTTCACTCAAACATGGAATTTTCCCTGATGATCTTAAGACTGCAAGAATTTCTCCAATTCATAAATCTGGTGACAAAAAAAATCGAGGCAATTATAGACCGATTTCCATTCTTTCGATTATTGCTAAGTTATTTGAGAAACTTGACTGTACACAGCTCAATTCCTTTTTAACTGAAAATAATATTCTGAGTTCGTGTCAGTCTGGTTTCCGTAAAAATTATTCCACCGCATCAGCCCTTTTTGCAAATACGGATTCATGGTTACTTAACATGGATGCTGGGATGATAAACGGAGTACTTTTTCTGGACTTATGTAAAGCATTTGATACGGTTGATCACGGAATTCTCCTAAGTAAATTATCTATCTATGGAATCCAAAATAAGGCCTTAGATTGGTTTAAATCTTATTTGCATAACAGAACGCAATACTGCAGGGTGAACAGTGCAACATCGTCCACCAGGAAAATACGTTGTGGGGTTCCCCAGGGATCGAACCTTGGTCCCCTTTTGTTTTTATTATACGTCAATGACCTGCCAAATTGCTTGGATAAATCCTGTCCGGCAATGTATGCAGATGATACAAATCTTACAGTATGTTCAGATAGCATTAATAATTTGGAGGAAGCACTAAATTCTGAAATGAAAAATATTCACCAGTGGCTTCTTTCAAACAAGCTAACTTTAAACATTGAAAAAACAGAATACATGATCATTGGAACCCGTCAAAGATTAGCTAAAATTCAAAAAAATACTAGCGTATCATGCGGGGGGAAACTATTGAAACAGGTTTATTCCAAAAAGACTTTAGGTGTACTGATTGATGACAATCTATGTTGGAATGAGCAAATCGACAACATCAGTAAAAAGGTATCGAAGGGCATTGGTATGCTGCGCCGTGCAAAGCCATTTGTCTCTCTTGAAACTCTTAAATATATTTATCAGGCTTTAGTGCAATCGAGTTTTGATTACTGCTCCATGGTTTCGGGAAACTGTGGCGAAGGTTCAAAAGAAAAGCTACAGAGACTACAAAACCGTGCAGCTAGAGTAATCACAGGTGATACCTATGAAATTCGCTCCACGGATATTTTAAAGAAATTAAATTGGAGAACACTCGAAGAGAGAAGAAAGGAGCAAAAATTAGCATATGTGGCCAAAGCCCTTTCAAACCAATGTCCTGAAAACGTTTCAACTATGTTTAAAATCTCAAATTCTGATAAATATAATTTAAGAAGTAATAACAAGATGCTGATGTTGTCGAAGCCTAAAACAAATTCAATGAAAAGGACATTCGGATATGCTGCTGCTAAAGACTGGAACTATAATAGTAAAAATTTTATATCTACTTAATTCATTTGTAATATATATATTTAACGTATCACTTCGACCCAAACATTTCTTAGTATCTTTTAATATTTTTATAATAGTTTATATAATAGTATTTCGAGTTCTGTATTTAATAACACGGCCTAATGAAAAACAACCTTTATAATTTTTGTAAATACTGATAGGTAATATGGTTGATTAGTTACCGTGTATAAAGATGTTATAATAATAATAATAATAATAATAATAATAATAATATCAGTGATATACAGTAGGTTACCTGATTCGGAAAATCGTTTGTGCTCCTTTGCTCGGAAATGCGAATCTTTCAGTCACGAAACATGTCGAGCTCAATGCCAAGAATTGTTCAATTACATCTTCATAATTATCGCCAGTATGTCCGTAACAGTAAGAGCCCTCTATTCGAAAATCTGCTAAAGAACTCCTTAAAAAATGTATTTCTCTTTGGCAAATACTCTCAAAATCGTTGCATGCCATGTCTCATTATTAACATTAAAGAACCGGCATTGTTTATTTTGAATTCGGCGCCATATTTTAATATTTCCCGCGCTTTTATGAATAATTAACTTTAATAACAATCAATAGTTAAGTTATACGAACATGTTACGAAATTCCCGGAGGGAATGCGTTAGGGGTTAGGGGTTAGTGGTTGGGGGTTAGGGGTTAGAGGTTTGGGTTAGGGTTGGGGTTAGGATTTGGATTAACGTTCGGATTAATCGTAGACCCATTACAACCCAATACTTTATTGCATACAATGGCATTACAACGGAAATAGATTATTGGTTACAACGTGCGGAACGGCTGGAAATGGAGTTTGCGTTAGGTCATCGCAGGCTCAGGGTGCAACGTGCTCCAGTGACATATTCAATCTCGTTCCCCGAGCATGCCCGTTCGCAGGTTAAGGGTGGGCATAGCTCTGGAGAAATCGAATTGATTCAGGCCGCTGATTGGCTAGCGGCAGATAGCACGTTGGATTTCCAACGTGAGTTCTACGCATGCTTTATAGCAATTGTTTCAAAATATAAACAAAGTATTTAGAATTTCTCGTCGCAAATTTGCTACTTTTTACACTGAAATCGAATTGAACAAATAGAAATTCTGGGGGAAATATGTACGAAAGCTTCGGATTGATAGGGAAACAAGTACCTGAAAAATACAAGGAGAACTTCGACGTTTCGAGCGAAGGCGAAGCGACTTGTACTGTAATAGTTTGTATACAATAGTACAATACTCGTATTTGACCTTTTATACTGTCGTACCTAACACTACGTATACCATAAATTCTGACAGGAGAGTTAAATATAAATTTTAAAGCACATATATATTATACTCATTCTTGAGTTCCCCCAGAATTTTTAGTTGTTTTCTATTCGGTGTAAAAAGTATCAAATTTTCGACGAGAAATTCTAATACGTTGTTTATATTTTGCAACAATTGCCAAGCATGCGTAGAACTCACGTTGGAAATCCAACGTGAATTAATTCGATTTCTCCAGAGCTATGCCCACCCTTAACCTGCGAACGGGCATGCTCGGGGAACGAGATTGTGACATATTCAGATCAGTTTCAAAAAAATGGCGGCTTTTCACTGAGCGATCTAATATATATTTCACACAGTTTCGTTGAATTTTCAAAGAATTGTGCCGGTTTCCTATGGATTTTACGTTGTGTCGCACTCTGGCTATTCTTGCGTGTTGAGTTAGTGTGTCTTTCTTTGTGCAACGACTCGAAAACCCCAAAATTTGGACCCAGCGAATTTATACAATATATATATAGTGGAATATAAACAAGGACAAGTTAAAGGTTTGACAGTTTGACTTTTGAATTAACAAGTATAATATACGTTGTAGGCTCATAAACATGCGTTGTGCTCTTGTATTCATTTGCATAATTATAAATTTGCACCTAATTACATTAATTTGCGCCAAATTACTTTCTAATTCATCGTATATTACTATAAAATGTATGTTTTCGACTGTATTCAGCGAGGTGGCGTTGCGTGCGGCGAAGTGAAACGTGATAAGGTTCGATTTGTTTTTGGAACAAGATCCAACTTTCCCCCCTCCCACTTTTTTAATTACCTCCGCCAGGAGGTTATGTAATCATCTGGGTTTGTTACCTCCGCCAGGAGGTTATGTAATCATCTGGGTTTGTATGTGTGTGTATGTG